CGGTCCGGGGACTTGAGGACGGGGGTGTGGTTCCGGAGGTTGGTGCAGGACAGACGTGGGGGGAGCCTAGAGAAAGGGTGAGGACAGACGGGGAGGCGCACCAGGCACCACGGAGGCCAGCAGCCAGCAGCCTAGGCTTGGGACATGGCCTGACCAAGCCCCGGTGGGAAGCAGCCTGGTGTGAGCTCAGCACACGCATCCTCTGCACGGGCATGTCCTGGAGTCAGCTCCTTTCCTGGCTGGGCCTTTTTTTTTTAATAGTTGGAGTTCCGCTCTGTCACCCAAGCTGGAGTGCTGTGGCACGACTGTGGCTCACTCCAGCCCTGATCTCCTGGGCTCAGGTGATCCTCCCATCTCAGCCTTCCAAGTAGCTGGGACTATAAGCGCACTACCATGCCCGGCTAACTTTTTGATTTCTTGTAGAGGTCTTGCTGTGTTGCCCAGGCTGGTCTTGAACCCCTGGGCCTCAGCACCCTCCTGCCTCCACCTCCCAAGGTGCTGAGTTTACAGGCATGAGCCACCGCACCCTGCCCTGACTGGGACTTTTGCTTCTCATGAGCCCATCTATGTCCTGGTCCCTCTCGGGAGTCCAGGCAGGACAGGGCACTGTTGTCTGTGTGAGGCCTGCCTACTGGCCGTGGCCACTTATAAACATGCCAAAGGGGCTCCACATCCATTTTTCACCCCCCTGCAGGCAGAGACTGGGTTGTGGGTGTGCCATCAGAATTCTCTCTTTTTCTTTTTTCGCTTTTCATTAGAAGCACCTTTCTTAGGGGGTAAAATGGACATGCGGCACACCTATACTTAAAGCATACAGTCAGATGAGTTTTAACACATGTAAAACCATATGACACCCTCACCACAGCAAGATTGGGGCTCTCTTAGGCCACAGGGAACATGAGATGTGTTGGGGCGGCACCTAGAGCCCCTGGCTGCTCCCTGACCCTGGGTGGAATAGGAGCTCCTGCCATTCTTTGGCCCTCGTGGCCACGAGACCAGAGCCCTTGGGAGGGAGTGAGGGGCAGGGGACCCACTGCCCACTGCGGGGGCATTGGCCATCCCCTTGTAGAGCTGGGCTCTCCCTGCTCGATTTGGCTTTCAGCCAAGCCAGCGAGACCAGATAGTGGCACTCAGCCTCCTGTCGTCCCTGGAGCCACCCCACGCTCCCTGAGAGGCTCCACTGCCTCTCTTTGGTGGCAGCTGGGGGACGTCATCACTCTGAACCCAGACCGATGTTCCCCGCGAAGCCTGGCCTGGAAGAAGATGTAGTGGGCCCACGTTAAAGGGTTTCTCCTCTGCTGGGCTCAGTGGCTCAGCCTATAATCCCGCGCCTTTGGGAGGCTGAGGTGAGTG